CGCGTGGTGCAAAAAAAAAAAGACGGTGCATTGAGAGAAGGGGGAAGAATGAGGACCCGCAGCGAGGACGCACGTCAGAAGCCCTGAAGAGTCTCGTTTCACCGTCACAATATCAGTAGCGGAGCAGGGTCAGTGTCATCATCGGCGCTCACTCAGCGTCCCCAACGCCATGTGCTCTCGGTCAGTTCCATTCCCCGATACACCACTGGTGGGGCGTGCGGGGTACACTTCGACCTCCTCGCTTCATGCTGCTGCGCAAACATGCATGCAACGTCTGTAATGCGGCGAGAGATAGAGGAAAGAGATGGGGGGAGGAAGAGGAGGCAGGGAGTGTCATACTGCTTACGGCGTTGCGTGTGAATCCAGCAGTCACGCACGTTGTGTGTGTCCTGACGCATCATGAGTAGAATCATTGTGTGGTAGCACAGCAAGAAGAGGGGAGGGACAAAGAAAGGAGTGTGTGTGTGTGCGATCAGAGCCCGGCAACGTTGTCGCTCGGGCCTCTCCATGGTCTGTCACAAATGCGTCACGAGGTGTTTTCCGACTCAGTGTCGAGTTAGTGCTGGCATGGATCATCACGTCTCTTTGCTTGGTTGGCGGCGTTGTTGCGCCTCGCACAGTGCAACAACACCGCGACCGTGAGGCGCGGGTGCCACATACGCATATGGGTGAGCGAGTGCTCGTGCGGTACTCCTGCCCGTGAACGCGGCAGAATCGCACCTCTTGGCCCAGAAGAACGACCTCCGCGAAGACTGAAAGCATACGCTTCACGTGGTAGCTGGTGGGCCTGCGCGTGGTGCAAAAAAAAAAAGACGGTGCATTGAGAGAAGGGGGAAGAATGAGGACCCGCAGCGAGGACGCACGTCAGAAGCCCTGAAGAGTCTCGTTTCACCGTCACAATATCAGTAGCGGAGCAGGGTCAGTGTCATCATCGGCGCTCACTCAGCGTCCCCAACGCCATGTGCTCTCGGTCAGTTCCATTCCCCGATACACCACTGGTGGGGCGTGCGGGGTACACTTCGACCTCCTCGCTTCATGCTGCTGCGCAAACATGCATGCAACGTCTGTAATGCGGCGAGAGATAGAGGAAAGAGATGGGGGGAGGAAGAGGAGGCAGGGAGTGTCATACTGCTTACGGCGTTGCGTGTGAATCCAGCAGTCACGCACGTTGTGTGTGTCCTGACGCATCATGAGTAGAATCATTGTGTGGTAGCACAGCAAGAAGAGGGGAGGACAAAG